CCCTGGTTGCGGCGGCTGATAGCGAGCCAGACGGCGGGGGCACATCGCTCCCTCATGCCAGAGGGGCAGCCGGGGAGGGGAGGACACGTCGTCCCTCCCAACAGGCCGAGAGGTGCCGCCGATGTGGGGCAAGGGGGGCTGCGCTGAGGCGAAGGGACCAGCGTCTCCTCCTCCTCCACACCCTGCCCCATCGTTGGAAGAGGCATCCAGGACCTTCCCAGCGAAGGGAAGGTGGTGGCCTTCGGGTCTTGCTGGGAAAGGGCCACCAAGCTGCGCTTGGCCTCAGCACACCTGGAAGTCCGCCGGGCACAGGCCCCCTCGCAGGGGTGGACACGGTGGGGGCTGGGGGGCAGGAGGGCTGCGTGGTCACTGTCACCTCTCAGCACATCAGCGGCACGTGTGCTGTGCTGGGCAGCGGTGAGGGAGCTGGACCTCTGGAGATGGCCTCCCTGGATGGCTTGTGCCCCAGCAGTGCTGGTGGAGGGCAGACCTGGGCTGGAGGGAAACTGAAACCGGCTTTCCCCTCCTTCCCCAGGTCAGACACTGTGGGAGAGGCTTGATCTGCTCTGTGCCACGCTACTAACAATTAATTGATAACAGCTAGTAATAACAATTAATCGCTTGTGCTCCAGAGGGTTTAGACCCATATCCCAAGGATGGGGTAGGGGCCAGGCTCACTGTGGCGGGGTATTCATGTTCCCTGGAGGTGTTGGACAACACATCCTGAACACCCACATTGTGGGGTGCCCACAAGGCCCGCCAGTGTCCATGGGACCCTGCCCCTCTCCATCCTCCCTCTCCTACTGGAGGAGCTGTCGGCTTTTTCTCAGCTGCCCCCCTCCTCACTGGAGCGGGGAGCAGCTGAGCCGGCTGGAAGGCTGGGCAGAGAGGAGTTAACTCCAAACCCAACCTCAGGGAGAGGGGAAAAAAAACAGAGATCAATGGATCAGCAGCAAGAGCAGAGGGAGGGAAAAGGGGGAGACAGAGAGAGAGAACAGAGGAGCTCCAGAAGGAGAGAGCCTTGTGTGGGAGCCAGAAGAGAGAGCAGAGCTGGCAGTGGGCAGGGAGGCAGCGGAGCTCCGGGCAGGGGTGATGGTGCTGCCTGGATGAACTCTTCGGTGGCCCGCATCCTTCTTGCCGCTGCTGCCCGGTCTGGACCAGAGGTCTCCCCGCGAAGCTGCAGGCCCTTCCTCACAGAGGTGAGTGCTGGCTTCCCAAGTGAGGAGCAGCCTCCGGCTCCCTGAGCAGGGACGCGACAGTGCCCAGCGATGCTCCTCTGCCTATGTGTGAGCCCATGCCCAGAGGGCGACCGGGGTCCTCTGCTCCAGCAAGGAGAGCCCACGGGGCCAGGATGGAGGAGCCAGGTAGTTACTAGCAGGACAGAGGGGACCACAGAGCCAGAGAGGCAGGGACGACCTTTTGGTGCAATACAGAGAGGCTGCTGGGAAGGAGAAGTGGTGTAAACTGAGGGACTGGGGAGTGTGGGGCGAAGGAGCTTGCATGTCCCAAAAAAAGACTTAATTGCATGTCGACAGTTGCTAGATAACAGTGTCTTTCCCTCTTGGTTGCTGCTCAGTGAAGGACAATTTGTTCTAATGATAGCACAACACGGGGAAGGCTCGTTAGGAGATAGGCTGTTGGCGCTCCCCGCCTGAGCGCCGTGTTACTCAGGGCTGGAGGAAGTTTTGCAGCAAATCGAGCTGCAGTAATAATTACGCTCCTTCACAATGATCATTGTGTTGTGTTTCAGGCGGCTCCCAGGCTTTTCCCCCCATCCTCTCCTAGCCGTCACTGTCCAGCCCATGGCCACCTCTCAGCATCAGGAAGACCTGCCCTGAGTCACCTCTCCTCCGTGGAGCATTACTGCAAAGGGAGCAAGGGGCAGCCAGCTCTGGGGTGGAGGGGGTCCCAGCTGAAGGAGCTCCCTTGAGGCAGGAGCACGGTGGGGTGCTGCCACTGTGGGCTGTCACCCAGGCATCAGATCCCTGCTGCCAGAGGTGGCACAGTGCCGTGGTGAGGCTGCCAAAACCACCCACCATCCCTCCATGGCCTCGTGTCCCTGGCTGAGCCCTGTTGAACACCAGCCAGGATTTAGACTTGCTAAAGCAAGCAATCCCAGGAGGTTTAGTGGCTTTGGGATTGTAGGAGGAATGTAGGGGAAGCCAGGTGGCAGGGGAGGAGGTCCTTCAGGGGGCTGGGAGCACAGGAGGTGCCATGGCGGGAACATGAATGTGGGCAGGAGAAAGGGGCCTCGGCTCGCCTCGAGCCAGGCAGATGTGGGCTGACTCCAACAGCATTCTTGCCAGTGATGTCATGAGGATCTTGATGTCATCATTTAGCCAGCTGGTTGGGATTGGCATCTCTGGGAGAAATGTGGGCATCAAACAAAGGCCAGGATCAGGCACTGTAGGGCCAGAGCTCTGGTGGCCACTGTAGTCAACACCGAAAAGCACCTGCTTGCCTATGGCCATGCACAGGGCCTTCATCTCCCTTTCTCCCCTCGCAGGTCCCCACAGTCAGATGGGGAGATGCCAGGAGACTGGAACGCCTCCTCTGACAGCCTGGAGCTGCGAGCTGCAGGGGTTATCGTGCCTGTCATCTTCTCCCTCATCTTCCTCCTGGGCACTGTGGGGAACGGGCTGGTGCTGGCCGTGCTGCTGCGGAACGGCCAAGCCAAATACAATACCACCAACCTCTTCATCCTTAACCTGGCCATGGCCGACCTGTGCTTCATCATCTGCTGCGTCCCTTTCCAGGCCACCATTTACACCCTGGACGGGTGGCTCTTTGGGGCCTTTGCCTGCAAGGCTGTGCATTTCCTGATCTACCTCACCATGTATGCCAGCAGCTTCACCCTGGCCGCCGTCTCCGTTGACAGGCAAGCATCCCCTCCCCTTTGAGTCCCTCAGCTCAGGGACCTGTTTGCCACCTTTGAGCTAAGGGGTGGGAGAAAGGCTGGTCCTTACCCTGTTGAGTGTCCTGTAAGGAGCGGGTAGGGTCTTCCCAGAGGCAGGGCCAGCAGAGCCAGCCTCCCTATCTCCCTGTGTTCTCTTCCAGCACCAAGCTAAGCTCTTGGCCTGGTTACCCGACCCTCACTTAGGAAGGAGTAGTGCAGGCATGTGCTGAGGTTTGGTGTCTACCATGCAAAACCAAGAACAGGAAAACCTCAGGGCAGCAATGCACCAGGCAAGAAAGAGTGAGCCCTCTGGGTCCTGCTCCTGTCCTTCTCTTCCCTGGTTCAAGAGGCATGCTGCTTGCCTTTCCTGAGCTAGCACAGAAGAGTGGGCAACGGAGATCCCAGACCCGCTGTGGGGATGACCCTGATCTCTATGTGAATTCACCGTAACCCTCTCCTACCAAGAGGTGGGGAGGGGAAGAGATCGGTGGCTGTGTGTGGGATGGTGCACAGATGGCGGCACCATGGGGCAGAAGGCCAACAAGGTATCATCTCATCCATGTTGTATTTGGTCTCTCCTCCGTCCCCTCCTTGCCAGGTACCTGGCCATTCGCTATCCACTGAAGTCCCGGGATCTTCGTACCTCCCGAAATGCAGGAGTGGCCATTGTAGCGATCTGGTCGCTGTCGCTGCTCTTTGCGGGGCCTTACCTCAGTTACTACCAGATTGTCCATTACCACAGGGTGCCCATCTGCGTCCCCATCTGGGAGGACCAGCGCCGAAAGATTCTGGACATCCTCACGTTTGTCTTTGGGTACCTGCTGCCTGTGACCGTGGTGAGCCTGGCATATGCCAGGACCATCAAGTTCCTGTGGACCTCCGTAGACCCCATAGAAAGGATCTCAGAGTCCCGGAAGGCCAAGCGTAAAGTCACCAAGATGATTGTGGCTGTGGCCATCCTGTTCTGCCTCTGCTGGCTGCCCCATCACCTGGTCATCCTGTGCTTCTGGTTTGGCCACTTCCCCTTCAACCGAGCCACTTATGCTTGCCGCCTGGCTTCCCACTGCCTTTCATATGCCAACTCCTGCCTCAACCCCATAGTCTATGCCCTCATCTCCAAGCATTTCCGCAAGCGTTTCAAGCAGGTCTTCACCTGCCTCTTCTTCCAGACAAAGACCAGGAAGAAGAAGAGAGTTGGAAAGAAAGTCCACGTGGTCAATGTGGGCAAAGGTTTCACCAACAGCACCAGAGGTTTCTATGGAGGCAACACTGAGGTGACCCAGGTCCCAGAGGAGAACACCAGGAAGATGGACCCTGAAGGTGCCAGTCATGATGCCAGAGCATGGACTCACCAGCTACAAGATGCCATGGTCTCTGTGCAGAAGGAGCTGCTGGAGGAGGAAAGTTTGGCAACAGCTGGCCATCCCCTAGCCATGACCCTTCCAAGAGGAACTGAGGAGTTTCTGACGGTTCATTACAGATGAGCGAAGTGAAGAAGCCCGTTTTCTGGCCTGTGAGTAGCCACTCCATTTCCAAATGGGCAGAATAATGTGGGACAGATGGGAATGGACACAGCAGAGCCACCGAAACCTCCTGTGGCAATGGTTAACCCATTGTCCCCACTCACCAGCATTCACTGGCCCACAGCATTCATACAGGTATGGTACAATTCACCCATGCAGTGTGGAGTGATGCCAGCTGACCTGGGTGGCGTTCCTGCAACAGGTTTTAAGGCCTCCATTTCCCATCTTCCTAACTTGCTAATTTTGCACAGCACCTTGAAACTCTAAGAGGGAGGCAACTAAAATGAACACATCCTGGTAGGAAATCCGGGCTGTTAAGGGCACATCAGAACATGGGTGGGAAGGGTAGAGAGAATGCACGGGGACCTGAATGTCAATAGGGTAGCTGGCAGCCTCTCTCCCTGGCAGGGCTGGGGTACTGTGCCCACCCCCAAGCGGTAAAACGCTGACCCCTGCCCCCATGCCCCTTTCCCATGGTGCAGGGGCAGCCCCATCCCACCTCCATCCCTTTCCCTATCCCCTACATCCTGATGAGAGGGCCTTTGCCACGCTGTCTCACGTGCAAGGAAGCCGGCCGTCTGTGCCAACAGCTGGGTGATGCAAACTCTGCGGCAGTCAGGAGTCAAACTCAAATGATTTATGCCACAGCAGGTGAAGACTGAGAAGGCTTGTGTGCTGACACCTCTGCGTGCCTCCCCTCCGCACCCGTGGCTTCTCTGAAGTTCAAGGAGGAAAGGACCATCTGTCCAGCCTCTTTCCTCCACCCTGCTCCACCAGAAGTGCTTGCTGGAGGGTATTTCCTAGAGCTCTCTCTCGCCTGGCTTTAGCTCTTCCAAGCAGATCCTGCAGGACACTGTCCCACTTCCTAATGCTGCCTGTGGTCCAGAAATATTTCCTGACAGCCTCCCCCAGTTCTTCCTAAACAAACCTGGTAACTTAACTCCTCCTTGCACCACGTTCTTCCACCTGATCCACCCCTCTGCTTACTTTCTGTTTGCCTTTTGCAAATTCCCGAGGGATTGCTGCCTCCTCTTCGATCTTTGCTTGCTACTCAGAGTTTCATCCCTCCCTTCTGGGGCTGAAGGACCTGTTGCTCTCTGAGCAGAGACATTATTCATAGATATTAACCCCATGTGTGTGGTTTACTGGCTTGGCCAGGCAGTTTTTTCCATGTGATGGTGATGATTGTGAGTGAATTGATGGCTGTCACTGAAGCAGAAGAAAGTGGCTGAGCTGCAAAACAAGCTGTGGAGCTGGGTGACAGTTGTGGTGAGGTGAAGGAGAAAGAAACAGACCCATGTGCGCTTAGTTCAATCCTATCTCCTCAGTACCTCTTTCCACCTGGTGGAGGTGGTTTCTAGGAGAGCGTGAGGCCAACACTGCTCAGCGGGTTGGGACATCTTCCAAAATGGCCACTGCTGTGGGATTACTGTGGGGCTCATGTCTGCCTGGGAGCAAAACTTTCCCCTGCTCTGTCCCCTGCTGCCCTGAGCAGCAGTGGAGGAGCCTTTGGCTGTGGTAACAGCTCAACGACACCTGGCAGCAGGGCCAAGCATCCCCCCGGCCTGACCACAGGAAGGATGAGAAGTGCTGAGGGGATGCCGTGGTGGGACAAAAATCACATTCGCCAGAAGATGCTGGAATTTCTCTCCTGCTTTACCTGAATAAACCCCAGTAATTTCCTTCGCTTGCCACATTTGCTGTGTGCTGGATGCAATCATTGCCCGGTGCGGGGCTCTGCAGTTTGGGCTGGAGGCGGTGGAGGCTGTACAAGCCTCCTGACCACAGTCTGGGGCTCCCAAGTCACTTAGCAGGGCATCGTTTGTTTTATTTGACTTTGCAGGCACTGCAGAAGTGTACAAAAAAACCCCCAAAGCTGAGGGTTTTAAGATGGATCCAGCGCTGATGGTGTTCAAGGGAAAGTCGTAGGAGAGGGACAGACAGAAGCAGAGAGAGGGAAAAGGAGGGAGGGTGAGAGGACAGATGGGGGGGCAATATAAATGATAAATGTGTGGCAGGAGCCATCCACAGGGACAGAAAATGGCAGTGAGAAAGCAGGGCGAAGTGAGGGGCTAGAAGCAAAGGGCAGAAGGGAGGACGGGGGGGCACGAGGGAGGTGGGAAGCAATGCGCTGGCAGAGCACCCACATTTTGGCAGAGGCCTTCTCCCCACCCCAGCAGTGTCACACTGCTCCTGAGCTGGGGTGAGCATCACTCGGCTGTGTTGGACCCCAGCCCCACGGCAGCTTTCTCTGGCGTTTTCCTGCATCATCGGGCTGCCAGAGAAGCCCAAAAAACCACCATCCGAGCAAGGGCTTTGATCAGTCTGGCTCACATGGGAGGGAGCTGGTGGGATTTGCATCGCGGCAATGCCATGATTTGCCGCCTGTGCCTGGCAGCGGTAGGCCTGGGCCTGTGGCTGACTTCACACGGCTCTGGTTTTGTCACGTAGTCATGACATGAGTGGAGAAGGACAGAGCAGGGTACTCGGCTTCCCCAGTGTGCCAAATCCGCATGCCACGAGTAATCACTGGGGCCACGAGTAACCACCTGAGGCCATCCTCTGCGGGGATGAGACAGCTTCACTGAGGGGACACAAACTCCGCGATGCCACCTGGGATGTGAATGCAAGTGGGACCGATCCTGCTTCGTTTGCCAGCACAGGTGCAGCCCCTGAGCATCAGTCCTGCGGCTTGGGAGCTTTCGGTGATACTGTAGGACAAGCCCAGCAAGAAGCCCTAGGAAGGGGACAAAGACAAGTCACCTGACAGACTGGGAGGGGGAAAAGGGACTGTTTTTTCTGGCCAGGCAAGCCCTGAGGAATGAAAAGGGACCAGGCTGTGGAAGGACCTCCATGGTGAGAGGCGAGGGAGAAATCTGCATTAGCATCACACTTCCTGACCACATTCCAGGGGCTTTGCTTTCCTCCAGGAGAGGCCAGGATCATCAGGCCCACACCTTATCCCCACTGAGATGGTTTGCTGTTGGCAGCGAAAGAGATGGGCTTGCTCATTCAGACCCGTTAAACTGAGCTCAAGCCCCACAGGGTTCCTGAGCAACTCCCTCCACAATCCTGCAGCCAGCACTGGGATGCCTCAGCCGCAAATCATCAGACCTGCCACTCCCCCAGCTCAATACTTACAATAAAGTTTATATGATTGCAACAGCCCTCCTTTTCCTTACTTACATAGGGCATTTAATTAGTGCTGTGTGGCTCCCGATTGTGTAACTCTTAACGTGAAGCAGCTCTTCACCCATAATGCCCTAAGAGCAGGTGAAAGAGGGAGAGCTTGGCAGAAGGTGTTTAGTGAAAGCAGTGACATTGTGGGACACTCCAGACTTCCATGCTGAAGCTGGGAAACAGTTACAGGTCATCATGGCAGCAGTAGGTTTCAGAGTGAACATGTTTGCCCTGAGCGAGGCAGATCATTCTCCTTCCTCAGCAGTTCACTTCCCACAGCCCCACTGCCCACAGCCAAGCATGTGCATGGAGATATCCCTCCTAGCGAAGTCCTACAGGCTGACTTTCCAGGTGGAGATGCAAGGGCTGGGTGCTACGGCAGTCTCCGTAGCCTGGAAATCTGCAGGGACGGCACTGCTCACTTTCTAGCTAATTAAAACAGCGAGGGAGCGAACGCTGGGGAGCTCCAGCCATCAGGGAGAAGCCATTTACTGCCAGCCCGCTGATCATTGCCAACATGAGCCTGAGGCAAATGCGAGGTCGTTGGAGGCTGCCCAGCCCCGTCAGTGGTGCCCTGAGCCCCACACGGGCTGCAGAAGTCGCCGGTGTCCTCGCTTGTCCCCATGCACAGTGGGACCTCAGCAAGGCAGCTGGAGGCTGCATCCAAAGCAAAGGGGTTTTGGCCCCATCCTTGCCCTTCGACACTCTCAGTGCTGTAGGTGATGTATGGCAGGGATGGGGGACATCAAGCAGCAAGGGGCTTGCAGAGCTGTGGTGTGTGTGAGCAGAGCCACAAGTCCCTTTATTTCTTTTCTCTTCTCTTTCCGTCCCCTGCTTCTGCTTGCGTAAATATTCCCTTATTGCTTTGTCCGGCCTGCTCTTAAAATTCCCAGGTGATGTGGTATTTCTAACCCTCGCTGAAGCTGTTGCACACCTTGCTAGAGCTCAGCTCCAAGGATACCCCTTTCCCTGTGTGAAGGCCAGCCGAAGCGCTGTGCTGGGAATTATTTTTTTTTTCCATTCAAGTGTTTGATGCTGCTCTCTGCACCTTGAGCCTCCCTCGTCTCCTGTCCCTGTTTCTGATTTCTCGAGCTCCCTTCTGCTCCTCTGCAGCCGATGCTTTTTGGCAACGTGTCCAGCGTGCTTTGCCTACCTTCCAGGGGATGGCTAGTCCTGCAGCTGCGATGCATGCAATGCCGTGGCTAGTGGCCAGCTTGCATGGCCTCAAGCAGCCCCCAGGTAACACGAATATCTGCATCGTTTCTGGGGATGAGGCCTCACTTCACAGCCCAAAGGGAACAGCCATCGGGAACAGTGAAGCGGCACAGCCTGAACGCTGCTTGTTCTTGCCCGCTTGCAGCCGGGCTGTTGCTCACTCTTGATCCTGCTCCTCCTGGTCCTGGCTCGTAAAAGGAGTGGATCAGGTCAGGACTGACTGCTGCCCACTGTGGTGAAGCCTACATAAAACAGGACAGAGAAGACAGGGAGGAAACCTGGGGGAGAAGGTGCATTCAGTGTGGCAAGCATCTGCAATGCATAAGCTCTGCCTGGTGTTAAGCCCTGATTTTGGGGAGCACGTGAGTGGGAAGGGCAGATGCTGAGCCTGGCTCAGGGAGGCTCTGGAGCCAGGATGGAATTCCTGTCTGCCCAGTAACAGTGTGCACACTCTAACTCGTTTCACAGCTCAAAGGTAGAGGTGAAGAAAAGGTGTCATGTCCTTGACATAGAACTGGGTTTAATTAAAACTGAAGGAGCTTGATTGCTGCTTTCCACACAGCCTCCCCACCAGACTGATTAGCACTCTGCAATCTCCGCTCCCAGCTTCTTGCCTTAATTAATGACTCCTTGCTTATATTTTCTCTCCTACTTGTCATCACTCGGGCTGACAAGCTTGGCTTTAACCCCACAGCGGCCGGTTTGCTACACCCACTGAGCACAGCCACGCCGGGAGCTGGGATGGGGCAGAGGGAACGGGAGAGGCAAGGGCAGGCTGGGGCTTTGTGGCTAGTGGTTGGCACCAGCCCCCCCGCAAGCCAGGCGTAGCCACCCTCTGCGAGCAACTTAGTCCTGCCAGCTGTGTGCCGGCCCTGGTGCCCGCGCACCTCCCCAGCACGCGTGCCACGAGCCTGATGCTGCTGGGAGGTGTCAGACCGCCGGTACCAAGAAACAAACCTGCAAATCCAACAGCCCTGGTGGGGGTTTCCCTGTCTGCAGGCACATGGGGCTGGGGGAGGCAGAAGGCCAGGGGAAGCTGTTACAAGGACGGCTCCTAATTCCATGGTGGAGCAGTGGGCTCAAGCGCTGCCCTTGCACTCATGGGGACAGGACCTTGTAGAGAGACGCTGCAGACAGCCAGGAGAGCACGGCAAATGCACCTCGCGGCAAGACAGCCTTGCCGGCCAGAGAGGCAATGGTGTGATAGGGGCGGTCAGGGCACGTAGTACTATGAGCTATAGAGAATTCTGCTTATTTGCTTTTGAATTTTGCTGCTGGTTCCTAATCCATGGCCATCCTTAGCAGGCTGCCAGCTGATTATTTTAATTCTTCCAACAACCACATGCTCTCTTCCCCTCTAAGAGCTTTCAGGAAAGCCCAGAGGAATGCTATCTATATGTCCTATCTCCTTTATCAGCTTCCTAATCGAAATTGCTGGGCCCTGAGCTGACAGGGCTGCTCTCCCACGCTGGCCAAGCACCATGCACGAAGAAGGCATCTTTCTGCAAGTACCTTTCCATGACGGAGGAGATCTGTCTTGCTCATGGAATGAGCGGAGGAAGCAGATGAAAGAGTGGGAGGTTTGCCAGAGGTGCTTCATGGGACTTCTTTAGCAGCGCAGATAATTACAATGATGGATTTCGAGTCTGCTAGAAAGGCAAAGGTGGAGGAGGTAGTGGAGTTCAGATGTTGGCTCAACACCCTGGAGCTTAATTATTTCAGCTGCTGAAGGGTGGAACAGATTCTTGATGTTCGCACATACTGCAGTGTGCTTTTTTGTGTTCACTTGCATGGTGAGTGGCCATTTGCTCAACAACATCCATGCAGCTTTGTTGGGAGACTTTGTTCAAGGATGTTGCTTCTGCTGTGGGTCCTCAGTGAGCCACAAGCAGGTTTTCAGTGTTTGCTGGCTTGGATGAGCCAGATCCTCAGCCTGGCTGGCTTTGGTTGCATCTTACAGCACAGCAGCAGCTGCAGAGCCAGGGAGTTTGCTGCTGGGTTCGGTGGCTGGGGATTCAGTGGCTGGGGATTCAGTGGCTGGGGATTCAGCACATCACTGCAGAGCCACGCTCTGGATGAGGGGGAAATGGAGTGTATTGGGGGCCAGGCAGCAGTGAGGGGCAAGAAGGGCCCTGGGTCAAGTCCTGGTTGCCAGAGTGTGCTGGCAGCCCTGACACCACGGCCCCCAAGGAGGGGGACGCACCACCGCTTGGGAAGGGACCTGGAAGGCGTGTTTGATGGTGTGGCACAAGAAAAACGAGGAGGTTGGACTGAGCTTAATTGCAAAATAAATAGCAGTGAAACCTGTGCTGTCGTTTTCATTCTTCATTAACTACAGCAGACACCTCTGGGACATGTGGAAAGTTGCCACCAGCCTCACACCTGTGGGCTGTGCAGGGAAATCTGTGGCCTGGGATGCAAGGGCAGAGGGAAAAGCTGCTGGGAGAGGCCAAAAACTCTAGGCCAGGAGCAGCAGGAAAAGCAAACAGTGCCAGTGAACAGCTCTTGGCACAGCGTGAGGCCACACTCTCGTGTCCCCCCCGGAACCTTTTCTTTCCTTCTTTCCCTCCCCAGGACCAAACTGTCTTTTCAGATACAGCTGCTGAGCATGGCAGAGCAGTCAAGGCTCTGGCATGTCCAGCTGACACAAAGAAACCTAAAACTTTCCTCAGTCCAGTGCCAAACACATGACCCGTCTTTCAGCTGCCCAGTGCTTCAGCCCTGAGGCAGAAAAGCAGAACTGACTGCAGTGATTCCTATATGACGCTTTCCCTCCCCCCTGCTGAAAACCAGACCCCCTTTTTCTCTTTCTTGTCCAGTGTTATCGCTAAAGCAGTGGTGAAACTTCTTACAAGCCCGCTCGTTTTTTATTTGCCTCAGCTCATGGTACCAGTCTCCAGGGGCCTGCCAGCGCTGCCTCACCTCCCACGGAGGGAGCACTGCTGCAGAAGAGGCAAGGCAAGCGCTCGGCTGGCTGCAGCAGCCCCCCCTTTCCCCTCCAAGCATGCTACAGTCATGAGCAGCGATGAAAAACACTGGCGCCAGGCAAGAAAATGGCTTGAAGAGCTGTGGACAACAATATCACGTGTGCTCAGGCTAAAAGCTTCACTCTGAGTCCCAGCTAGGCGTCTTCCTGGTTTTGAGGTTTTGCGTCTCATTAGCAGACAACATCAGCAACTAAGGTAACCGCAGCGATAAAGAGCGTTTCAGCCGCCTGCTCTTCGGGAACCTTAATGGTCTCCTCAGCAACAAGGCTGTTGAGTGCAGAAGCGTTGACAGCTGGGTGTACGTGGACACCAAGACAAGGCTGGGAAGACGGGAAGAAACAAGGTAAGTAAAGACTGGACACGAAGGTCACCCGCTCCTCACACAGGGACCACCCTGGAAATTCTCTGTCCTGCCTGGATGTCCCCCCCCAGCCCCTCATCCCCTCGCTGTCACTTCACAGCACAGCCATTTTATCTGGCGTGGGGCAAGGCACGAGTTCAGCCACCTTCTCCCCACCAGCTCCATACTTATGCAGGAGTGCAGATGGAGCAAGGCTGCTTTTCCTCTTTGCAAAACATCCCATCTTCCAGCTTGAAGCAACCCCGCTGAGATTCTCTTTCCTCTATTTGTACGGTTTCACAGCAACTAACTAGATTTAAAGTTTGGATTTCTTGGCTGCGGGAGTCAAGATCAGAAGGTGAGTCAGCAACCGTGTACTTCGATCTGCAAACAGACTGGTGTTTGAATTCAAACAGCTTTGTGTTGTCACTTCTAATTTCAGCACTGGGTATGAGAGTAGCAGTTATGAAGTCTGGGGAGGTGCCTGGGGCCTGGAACACACGTAAAGAAGGCCTGGAACATACGTAAAGAAAGAGGAATGAGCTGCTCTGAAAAAAGAGAGAACTTGGCTGAGGAGTCTGAAAAGGCTGACAGGATTTTATTGAAGTTCAAAATACAAAAAGGTCGTATCATCTCCCACCCCCTCATTATCCTTCCCATCCAGCACATCATGATGAAGTATCAGGATTCACAGTGACAGCTCCAGCCAAACCACAAGACCGTTAGTCCCAGCCATGGCCTCCAGCATCCCGCGGATGAACCCATTTAAAAGCCCTGCATATTTCTGGCAGCTCAGCTGTGAACATGGAGGTCCACTTAGCCTTCTCCGGGACACAAGAGGCCAGATATTAGAGAATATGCTGACCCGAAGGTTTCTGAAGAATGCTCCAAACTGTGGCTGTTGCATGGTTAAGCTGAATCCTGAGAATGGACACTTCCAAACCAGTGATTCCCAAGCTGTGGGATGGGTATTGCTACCGGCACACCATGTCTCTTAAGCATACAGGTGGGAGCTCAGATTGCTACTGGGCATGTTCTTGTCACCCTGCTGCTATTTGCACCCTACCTACAAGATTTATGATCCCTGCTCCTAAACAAGGCGATCTACATCTTCATTAGTAACCACAGTGGCATAGAAGCAAGAGATTAGCAAGGGCAATTCCCTGCATCCTCCGTAGCTGCATCACTTCAGGCTCCCAGCAGAGGTCCATAGCTTGTTCTTCAGGCTGCACTTGCAGTTCTGGAGCAGCACCTCTCCATGACAAGCAAGAAACACAGTACGGGTCAGCTGTGGGTTTGGTGTTGACGAGGCAGCCACAAGTCCACCTCCATCCCAGCCCAATAATACGGCTGAGTACACAGCACCTCCTATCGCAACCGGACCTCTTGCCTGAGAGCGCCAGTAATAGGAAACACAAAAGTCAGTCATGGTGGGGGTTTTTTGGCAAGATGTAGGTGTCTGCCTAAAACTGCGCTAGGATTAAGTCACCCCCCAAACTTTATTCTTGCATCAGGGCAGCTCTGACTTGCTAGCTGTCTACCTGCGTATTTTTTGCAAGTGTTTCACTGTAGTATTTAAGCTCTAACTTGCAGCAGTGATTTAAAAACCAGGGCCAGCAAAAGCTGTTAAGTCTAGTGATTAAAAGCTTTGTATCCCATTTGTAACCAGACAGATTCTCTGCCCTCTGACCGCGGGCTCTGTGGAAGGTTAGGATTAAGCCTCAGTGTGTGTTTCTCAAGGCAGTGTGTTTGCTCAGCTGCTAGCACGCAGAATTAAGAGTGTGTTCTTCTCACAGCACAAAGCCTTCTGTTCTCCAAGGCACCCACTTTCTCCCCCATGCAACCGAGTACCGCAGAGGTGGCAAAAGGTGCCTGTTCCAAGCATTTCTGTGATGCTGGCCAGCTGCTGAGCGCACTTGTCAGGGCTGGTGACTGCACACGGCATCAGCCACCACCTACGTCGAGCTGAAGTGCTTAGGAGAAGGCAGAATATCTCTGGAAGGGGTATCCTGTTCAGCGCCAGCCCATCTGATAAAAAGAAGAGCAGCTCTTTTTTCATTTTTCCAAAAGTCTTAGCTGCAGCACTCTCTTGTCTGTTGTCTCTGTTGCTGCCTCCCCATGAGGCAGCTGTGGCAGCACCCACAGGGACAGTCCGAGCTCCCCCGGAGAGTGGATCCGGCAGGAGCGGCTGCTGGCAGCAATGTTTGTTTAGTGATCTGGGAAGCATGCTTCAGCTTCCTCTTTTTCTCTGTAAGGCTTCTCTTGCTGCATCAGGAAGATGATTTGGAAGCCCATTACCTCTTCTCCATCTTCTGCATCTGCAGGCTGAGCGACGTGAAGCTGGCCAGAAGATCTGTAACCTCGTCCACCTGACAAAGTACAGTTGGCTGTTAGGCAGAGGAATGCAGTTGACCACCAACACAGATGAAACCCCCATGCAGCAGGGACCACCCTTGCACCAGGACTGCCAGTAATGCCCATGCTGAGCTAATGCTTGGACAGGATCCCTTTGGTCCCACAATCATGTGGGAGGGCTCCCATCCTCACAATCAAACAGGTCCTAATCTAAGGCTTCTCCCCATTCCTCAGGAGGTCAACGCTTGACCTCCACCTCGCGCGATTTAGCCAATCGTTATAACAGAAGTGTGTTGCTGCATTACCCAGAACTCACTAGTGGTAATGGGGCTGTTTCTTCTAAGCCTGTTTCTAAGGGCCAGTTTTTTGTAGAAAAAAAAAAACCAAACAGACCCCATAACCCTGCGTGGTTGTGCTGATCCTGGCCTCAACATGCCTGTGCCCTCAGCCCATCTGATCTCCAGCTTCTCTGCTGAGCTGCCAGGCACAGTGATGCTTTCTGCATTTTGAATTCCAACCCCAAGTGCCCTGAGTCATCACATGACTTGCCCACTTCACCCAATGTGAGCAAGAACACTTCCGTAACTGTGTCTTCAATGTCACCTTGCTCATGCAGTTGCATTCTCCCAACCACAGAAGTCACAAGTAGGTGAATCACAGTAGCTTAACGCTGCCTACCTGCTCCTTTGTGCTCGTCATCTGTAACCTGGAGCAGAGATCATCCAGCTGTTCCTTTTGCTCATGCCTCCCCAGTCGCTCCAGGTATTCCCGCAACATCTGGATAATCTGAAACCAACAGGCATAAAAGGCGAACATCAGACAGCTGCACCAGGCTGGGATGTTTTTACAGAAAGAATTAAGTTACAGTTAAATCGCCAAGCACAGCCTTGACGCTGCGGTATGTGGCAGAATACATGACACACAGAGAAGAACACATGCAAAGCAACCAGAGAGCACTAATAGCGGCATCAGAGCCCAGTGGCGTTGATCAGCCACAGACTAGTTGTGATCCCCGTGCCTGGTTTAAGAACAGGGAAGAGAGACAGGCCCAGCTGAAGAAGCACAAGGTCCAGCCCTGAAAGCACCAAGCTCTTCTTTATGGCCAGCTAGCCTTGCCTTGCTGTGAGGAGCAGGGACTTCCCACTCCAGCAGGATCTGCATGTGCACTGAGGATGAGAAGTCTTGTGGCTCCTCTATGGCTCCTGAAGCGAGGCCCACACCTTATGCATTTCTGATGCAGCCCCCCGTGACTGCTTTCCTATCCCACGCCTCCAGGTATTGGAGCAGGGCAGAATGTCCTAGGAATGCAGAGTCCCTGCTGGAATACGCATGTCATGGCTACAGCCTCATGCTGTGGTTCCTCTCCTGCCACAAGGCATGTGTCTTACAGGGTGGTTGAAGAAAAGAGTGCTCCACACAGCCTGAGAATTAAGACATTCAATGCATCCTTGGCCTACCAGAGCCAAGAGAGGTCCTGCAAAAATTCAGAGTAGTGGTTGGAAAAAAGGAAGGTCTCTGAAAACAGAAGGAAAAAGTCAAACTCCCTTCAGAGCAGCTAAGAGCCTACAGACAGGTATTTAAATAAAGGGTACAGCAGACTGCCAGGGGCTGCACCGCCTTACCCGATCTTGGGACTGTTTCTTTTACCTGTTTCACTTCAAGGCGTACGGCCTCCAGGCTGTGGGAGAGTCCTTCCTGCAGGATGTTTAGCTTTGATTTGGCGAGGTGCAGTGGGGTTCTGCCAGCTCGATCCAAGGCATCAACTCTGGCCCCTGCAAGATGCATGAGGAAGGACAGAAAGTGAGGTCTGTCTTCAAGGCTTAGTGTCCCTGGGGGAGTATCAAGAGGGGCAGGGTAGGAACGGGACAGGCTGTAATTGTTGTAGACGAAATGTTACCTCCGCGCAGCAGCGTGGTGATGACAGGAACGTGGTTCGTGCAGGCAGCTGGGGAGGGAAAACACAGGACACAGGACTCAGAGGTACTAGCAAACAACAAAGGAGTTTCTGCTCAAGAGTGGAGCTTGCTGCTTCCCAAAGGGCTCTTTGCCATGGGAAAGTGGAACAGCCCAACTGCCAAGGGTAACCTCACATGCAAGCCTGGGTACTCTCTCTGGAACAGATGTCACGCTCCTTGGGGCTGGCAGAGGGAGGGAAATGCATTTTCTCTACCTCTGACCCTTAAACCTTCATGAAGAGTGAAGCTAATGAAATGCAGACAGTCCCTCCTAGGTCCTTAAAGCTGGGGATGCATACTGTAAGGCACAGGCAAGAGGAAGGTGGAGAGGAAAGAAACAGCAAGGCAATGTTCACCTCACCTCTCTGCATGCAAAGCTCATCTGGGTGGCACTTACCCAAGTGCAAGGGGGTGTTTCCCAGCCCATCTCTCTGGTTTGGGTCAGCCCCATGGTCCAGAAGCAGTTGCACTGGAAAGAAGGAAACAGAGCCACATCAGTCCCTTCCCTTTTCCCCACAGGTCAGGCCCACATGGGCTGCAGGTCCACGTGGCAGTCATCAGGCTGCCTTAGGGATGCTTCTGTTCAGCTCATCAAGTTCCTCCCAAAACCAGGGAATGGAGGTTTGTGCAGCAATGCAGAAGGACCCAGCACAAAGCCAGGCAGTGCCACTGCCCCTGGGCTTCCTGAGAGGAAGAACTGGGACTAAGAACACCCTTCTGCACCAGTACAGCCCTAGAGCTAGGAGCCACTGCTCGCCCTTCAGCAGGGGCACGTGGCAAATCCTGGAGCCAGAGTTCAGCTGGCAACTTTGCCACAGAACACAGAAAACAGCAATTTCTGTCATGTGTTGAACCAAACTAAAGAGCATCCTTTGAAATCTCTGCCACAGAGAGGCTGGAAGACAGAACTCCTCCTCCCCACTCACCGATGTGATCGTTGCCATTGCAGGAGGCAAAGTGCAGGGCTGTCCGGCCTTTGTCGTCCGCGGCACAGGGGTCAGTTCCGTCCTCCAAGAGTTGCTGCACTGACAGCACCAAGGAGAAGAAAGCAGGTAAGCTGAAGGGGCACCTGATCAGAAAGGGGTAATGCTACCCACAGTTCTGCTGTTAGATACACATTCTGCCAGCTGTCCAGTCAACTGGACTTGAACCAGCTCCAGCCAGCATCCCGGCTCAGCAGGGCCAGCCTAGGCAGTGTACTCGCCAGCCTCTATCACAGCCTTCACCAGCTTCCATGTACTGCCATAGAGACAAGCCAACGGCTGTAATATCTAAGGCTAAGGATCCATCTAGCCAAATTTTCAAGCTCCAAGGACAATCAGCAGCAAATACCTACAGAAGAGTATAAAAAGATAGCAAGGATGCAGGGCTAACTCTCACAGACTTTAGTCAGCCGCATCTCAGGCACTTCCCAAGCCAGAATTAGCATCCTGCGCTTACTAGCCCTCCATGGGCTTTCTCCGTAGATTTGCATCATTTTCTGCATCAGTGTAAACTTTTCACATCAACGCAGACCCGTGATGAGAAGTTTCACAGTATAACCATATGCAGTGAGAAAAGCCACCTCTTCACACCTGTTTTGCATATGCCACTTCCTAGATTTGTCTGAAACAACTAGCTTTTGCCATAGTAATGGTGGCCACTGATTGGGAAGCAGGCATGTGAACGCACCAACCTGCCAGCAGCAGTGCAGATATACCCTTAGGAGATGGTATATTGAAGTGAACAGCCTGAGTAGCCATACCATCATCTACGCACACTTGTTCCCCCTGCTGCTTCCACTCAGCTACTTCTTCACTGCCACCACTGGCACTTCTTGTAGCCTGAACTACCTCCTTTTCTCAGATGAGAAGGAAAAACCTGCTCGCACAGAAAGGCAGAGAAATTAGTATCACTCCCCTCCCCAGTATCGGGTATAACAAAGGCAAAGAGACCAGTAAAGGCTGAAAAGGTTAGGGACATAAAAGTAGCATCTACAGCAACATGCGTAAGAGCAACTGAAAGGGCCATTACTCCTGTTGTTTTGAGATTATCCTGATATAGTAATCAGTGTGTAAAATAAAGCTCATTCCGAAGCTGCTACAAATACTGACAGATTCACTGTATTTTGACATCTTTAATAGCATATCCTGCAACAGCCAAGACTGACCAGTATAGGAGACAAGAAACTAGATAGCTCAGACCGCTGAAAGTCACCATTGGTCTCAGCTTCCAGAGATCAAATTATAGTCACATTTGAATTTCTTCCTGTACACCTACTGCTTTAAGTGTGGTACAGAAGTGAAAGGAATACCTGAAAAGATGGAAGTGGCATTAATGGGGTGTTTGATACTCCAGAAGAAAGACAGGGAGACTGACAGTGCCACCAGTGAGAATCGTTAATGGGGAATGCTTTACCTAAAGCCAGTAGGAAATGACATAAACTCTCCTACCCAGCACCACTACAGGAAAGAGCAAAGATTTTTACTTGATGATGCAGAATAAATGCATCATCAGACACTTCCTGAAGTCACAGAGTACACAAAACACAGCAGGACTGTAAACAGGGGAACCTGTGTATCAAATACAGGTGTAAAACTCATGGATTGAAACCAAGACTTCTGCAAAGCCTGATTCTTTCACTCTTCCTCTTGACTTGGTGACTGAAGCCAAGCCTTTCGGTACTGACAGAACTCACAGATGGACTTTATCCATCAGTTCATGAAACCAAGTGTATCGTGGATAAGGGGCAGATAATATACGCCAATATTGCTGCTGAACACTTCATATCAAACCCCACCTAATCTACAGTATAGAGAGGTAAGGGGAGTCACAGATAGGCCATGAGCCTTCTCTGAAGTCACTGTAACAGGCACTGGTCCTGATTCCGATCTACTGGGTCACGCTGTCTCATCACACAGGGTATGGCTTAGATAATCATAACGTTCCCATCTTACCTTACTACTTTTTTGCTGCTTACAATTTGGAAAAAGTTACATACCAAAAAAGCTGGAATAGTGCAGTGCTGATTTGGCTTCAGGCAGCTGGAAAACTCACACTATGAACCAGAGGCAGTGAAAAAGTCAATATGATAACCAGCTTCACTCTGCTCAAAGAATGAAATGAGGCTCCAGAAAAGCAGTATCTAGTTTTGCAGCATCTAAAGCACCATGTCCGCAAACTATCTGCACCCTCCTCCTCCTCTCCTGAAATAGAGGTCCTCGAAAAAATACCCTTCCAGGAGAAAGTCCCAAGTAGGATTGGCAGAAGTCTTACCTGTGTCCAAGTCGTTGCTATTGGCAGCTTCACGCAGTCTTTTCAGAGCTATGGAGAAAAAAAGCAATTACTGACAGGAAAGCACAGAGGAAAAAGGAGCGTTTCCCTACCGAAACATCCCATCCGGGCGCTCGAGCCCAGTCGCAGGGCCCAAACCATGCTGGTGCTGGCTCAGCCCAGAGAAGGGGAAGCAGGGGATCAAGACCCCGGGTAAGAAGCGCTCTCCTGAGGCCAGCCTCGGGCCCTCCCACTCCTGACGGGCACCGTCCCCTGGCAGGAGCAAGGGCGCCTTCCCAAGCCGCCCACCGAGCAGATCCGACCTCCTTCCAGAGGCCCCGCACACGGGAAAGCCGAAGCTTTACCAGCTTCCCAGATCGGAGGCTCTCCACCCCG